ACAGAACCAATTTTTGGAACAGTAATAAAAATTAGCATTATTCTGAGCTTGGGTGTAGCAAGATTTCACTTGTATTGTATGTACTGAGATGGTGAGGAAACGTGGTTACCAAAAGAATGGGAAAGCCAAATATTTATTACACATGAGAACTTAATGCAAAAATTTTTCTAATTTGTTTTAAGTATTCAGTTATTTATGTGTTTCTGTGAGCCCATTATGCAGTTTCCTCATCTGTTTTGGACATGATCTTGTTATGCAACCATGTATAACAAATAGCATTATAGCTAATAATACATTCATAATAACATTCCAAGTAAATTAATGCTGACCCACTACGTGCCATGGAGGCACTTGGGGAGAGTGGAGATTTTGCTTCAACTCATTCTTGACCTCAGGACTAGATGGAAGTAACATGCTCTCATTGTAGTGTTAGACCCTAATGGAATCTGTGTTAAAATTTTATTTAGCATGGATAACTGGCTGCTTACATAATGCACTTGTCTTAAATGGTCTGTGTTTGTGGCTCTGTGTGATAATGGGAGACCATAATATATTCTTTTAGTACTTTTTCACAACATATTCTGTATGAAGACGTGGAACTTTGTGAAATCACAAATGTCAATTATTCATCACCTCAGACTTAACAGAAATAAGTTGGGGAAATAAAATAAATCCTTTTGAAATGCTTTTTAGAAAATTTAACTAGGCCTAGCCATTTCACATTTTTGTGCCTAAAAGGTTTTCCTTTGCTGTCATTTGAAAATTTCTACATTTTATAAAACATTTGTTTCTAAGATTCTAGTTCTTTCTCATGTCCTGTACATGATTATAGCATTGCATGCTAACTTATGCTTGATCTATTTTCTAAGTGTTTATTGAAGTATGTGTGGCCATCTTCAGGTTTGATGTGCACTTGTGTATTAAAAACCTTGGTCTAGTCAAAAATTTATATAAATGTTTTTAAAATGTGATAAATTTGAAGCAGTAGAACTTTTAAATGTTCAGATTTTTTTTAAAACTTAGTGGCACAGGTAGATGATACTTGGTGTGATGGTGCTTTATTTATAAAAGAAAGTATTTGGTAGGGAGATCATATGTTTTTTGTTTCTGTAGTTGCATGTATGAAATTGTTGCTTTAACTTTGAAGTGTCTCTTTTCATCTGTTGATATTGAATGCTATGGGGAGTGGTGTATATTGTTTTAATGGGGAGGGGACAGGTGGGTGTTTGTGTTTCTGCTATCTAGGAGGCTATTTTATGAGTGTTTGATGTACTTAAACACTTAGAAAATGATAACAGTTTGTGTGAAAGTGACAGTTAAAACAAACATCAAGTATCTGAAGAGTAACACACTGGGATGCTGCATTATAGAGTTCATGTTGCCAACATCTGTCTTTTGGGGAATGTGGAATGAATTATAAGTAAGAAATACAACCATGAATTCTTTTAAAATATAACATAATTGAAATATGATCTTTTTCCTCATTTTACATGCATATATTTTCACTGTTTGTAGTAGAAATGATTACTCTGATTTCCTCTTGGCTTAAATGTTTGTTTCTTGTAGAAATTTTCTCTTTAATTTCTTCTTGGCTTCAATTTTTCAAATAGGTGTTTACTGCAGTTATTAGTATTGTTGCTTCCTTCTAACTGGTTGACATATATGTATTTACAAATTATTGTGCTTATCTACCTGCTGAAACAGTTTGCAGCTAACTTTATTTTTCTTTGCTACTGTGAGGCAGGCTCAAGGGCACAAATTTATCTTCTCATTGCCAGGAGCGGGTTTCTTGGTTCACCTATACCAGGCCGGAAACACTTCCCTTCAGATCCGCAATACCATTATCATCATGGCAACACAAGCCCTCTAGTCCTTCAGAGGTTCTATCACCAACAGAACCAACATCTACATCATCACCACCACCACCATAATTTAAATAGCTATCCTGTTCAGCAGTCATTAACTCACCAGTCATCTACAGAATCTAGCAATGATATTCAAAAGCAAGGTGACTCTAGTGGTGTTGTTAAGAAACGTTTTGCCTCGTATATTAAGTTCCATCTTGGTGGAGGGGATTCTCGTAGTAGGAATCTTCCGCCCCCTCGGCCCATCCGGCATGCTTCACCTGGTCCCCCATCCCATTACTCACCCCTCAGTCAGAGTCCAGACCCTCCCCCACGGCACAACAGGGGCTCATCTACCCCTGCAGATACTGGTACCCCTGGAGCTGGGTCATCTCCTCTTCTGGTGAGACGGAGTTTCCTTGATGTCTCACCTGTAAGAAGAGGATTTGTTGAAGGTTCACCATCCCTGTCTAGGAGGTGAGTTTACAGACATGCTGCATGATTATAGAGCATTGTAATATTATATTTCAGAATAATATCAGGCTGGAAAAGAGACTGCTGTTAATGTACACTTCTGTTTACAATAAAATTTTACATCTGTGTCAAACTAAAATCTGGTCAGTTCATTGGCTACAGATCTTCTGTAATTGTGATAACAGAAACACTTCTTAAAATTTTTACGATTGCCTTGAGGTTGATAATAAGACAGTGTTAATACACTGTGTTACATCAGGTGTTATGGAAACATGTAAGTACCTAATTATGAAGCAAAACATTCAACTTTCAGAGTGGTCTGTATCCATATGATGTGACACTTGACAAATGACCACCACCTGTACTTTGAGCACAATCAGATTCATCAGTCTCCTCTTGCCTCAAGAATTTAGGCGTAGGCCATGTGTTATGTAGTCATCTCTCACAAAAGAAATTGTGTCAATGACACCAACCTGAGCCATATCACACCCCATTAGGGCGTGATCAATTTGAAGTTTAACTCTCCTAACCCTCCCATTGTCTGCTGATGTAGCATACTAAAATAAATTGAAGTTTGTCTCACTACGTGCCATACAGGCGTTCTTCCTGGGAAAGGACCCCGGTACCCATTGTAGAGGAGGCTGGGTGGGCCCCAGAGCCTATCTGGACGCAGAGGCTAGAGGAAAAATCCTCCGCCCTCGTCAGGGATCGAACCCCGGCCATCCAGCCCATAGCTAGTCACTATACTGACTGAGATATCCCGGCTCATACTAAAATAAATTACTATTATTATTATTGTTGTTGTTGTTGCTGTCTGCTTGTCATGTGCTCCTTGCTGTAGGTATACAGTCAAAACATGGAATTTAATTTTGGTTGCTCAATTAGTTGAATTCAAATGTTTGTCCTGGGAAAAAGTGCAAGTTTAATTTTATTTGTAAGTGGCCTCTTTTATTCTCAAGACAGTTTATCAGATCTTCAAATTCAGTATGTAACTAGCAGATGTAAAATTGAATATTTCTAATTTTTATTTTTAAAATTAGATGAAAGCTGGTCCATTCTAAGTTATGCAGTACTGTATAAAATATTTCCACTTTGCCACTTAAATTTTAATAAAACTGGAGGGGAAAAAACTATTAGATGTTGATGAAGTATGTAGGTGTGAAGCTGTCCACTATACATGAATATGTCTACAAGTATCTTAACATTTCAAGAGGACAGTACATATTTTGTAGGGACAGCATCAGGAAAAATCCTAGATATTTGATATATTTTGCTAGGTATTTTATGTATAGTATACATTTTTTACTAATCATCTAATTACCTAAATATAATGATAGCAGATAGGAATTGAAACAAAAACAAAAGTATAGAAAAGATGTGGCCGCAGTATGTTAAGCACAATAATTTATGCTTTTCATATTTGTGTTTTTCTTTGTGTTATTGTGTAATCGCGTATTGAAGTGTGAGCAAGTATTTTTCATACAAGATTCCTTTGTTTATTGCAGTGCACAACCAAATTATTCATTACCAGCAAAGTAAATAAGGTTCGTAAGAAATGCATTGAATTTGAATGGGTATATCTGTGATACGCATACATTTTGAATGTAACACGATGTGTATGAAATTAACTTTGTGGAACTGTACCTAACAATTTACACACACAGTATATATAGATTACATGTACTTTACTTAGTTTCTGTGATTGTTTATAATTTATAACATGATGAATCATTAAACTAAGTGAGTTTAATTTTTACTCTGCTTCCTATGTTCTCTTGTGAGGATTCGTTATTTGTTGTAAATGTGTTATATAATTAACTCACACATTATGAAAGGTAGAATATCTTATGTTTGATTGACTAATATAATCATTTTTATTAAAAGATAACTCATAATATTGGTTATTAATCCATCAGTGTTTGTTCAAGCTTTGTTAGAATATCTTTGTCATACATCTCATTAAGTTACTTGCTGCACAACAGCTGCTAGGTATAATGTACATAGAAATCCTGCTTTATAACATATGGCCAAGGAAATTTATTTAAATTGTCAAAAAGGCACGATTACATAGAAAGGATGAAGAAGTTAAACTCATTGTTAGTGCCTAGAGAGTTAAATGGAGAGGACGTAACTGGTCTACCAACATAAAAATTGTGCGCTAAATGTGGAGAAACTTCAAACTGAGAAACAAATGTAGATTATACTGTAATTACGCATAATAACAATACTTGTTCAGTATGTTACACAGTCAGAAACATTAGGGTTGTGGGTGTATATTCCAGAATGGAAGAAGTATGTTAACCTTTAATATTAATATCAATTTCATAAATTTTCATTCAGGATACATTTTCCAACAATTTGTATGTATTCCTGCATAAAGAGTCTGTGTATTGCTCTTAAAAAGAATTACGAAAATATAATTTGACTTAATTTACTTTTGTGTAAATTAAATCAGAAGCAACAGAAGTTTGATTTACTCTAATTAGAAGATAAAGATGAGGTTTGAAGAGAAGTGCTTACTTAGTTTTACTAAACTTCATCTCTCATTTTAATTTTGGTTAAAATCTGAGAAAAATTATGATCATTTTACATGGAGACCTAAATGTGTGTCTGTGTGCGTGCATCCCAAGTGTGCCTCACTTAATATTTATTGGAGCAAGAAACTTGTTAATGTTGTAGAGAAAAATGAGACAACACATTTTATGGTCAGTCATTTTTCTGTAAGTCCTATGATTTCAAGGTAATTTAACAAATGGTTTCTTATTCTGTCATCTTGTAAGTTGGGATCAAATTTTATATTGGAGGTCCTAGCTTATCCTCCTCACCTGTTATATATATATATCAGAAATTAGCATTCACAAATTTTAAATCTATAGGTAGTAACAGAGTGAAGTAACATACCAGAATTGATATGCTTTACACATATTTTCTTACTTGTTGCACTAACAACTTATAAACAGTACAAAAATAAGTGTTTATGCCTTTCTTCAGTATAATAAAGTAAATATATAAATAATATTTATCTATACAGCTTGTATTTTGTAGGATTTGAGGTTTTCATGGCTGTGAGTCTGAAGATATCCATCTTCTGGGTTGTTTCACCATGTAGTCAGACGTTTACCAACGTTTCAGAGGTCCTTGGTACCTCCATCCTGATGATGGCCCAATAACCTAGAAGACAGCCACCTTCAGCTTTTATTTTAATGTCATATTATTTTTTACATCATTGCATATTTCAATCTAACTTGGGCCATGTTCTAATGGCACATAATGTTTTTATTGAACTGTGTGTGGCTTGTGATCTATTAATATTTAAATTATTAATTATAAAACAAATTTGTAACGTAGTGTACATTAGGTCTGTGGTTAAAACGTAAAACTTTAGGGAAAAAATATTTTCTTACAATATTTCTTTATCTGATAATAAAATATCTAAGTGTTTATCAAACTACATGCTTCAGGTTTGAACCTCTGTAAGTTCAATAGGTATTTCCATTTGAACTTGTGAACGTTCTTCTTTATGATTCTTTATGTAAGTAATTACATCTAAACAAACGGTGAGTCACTGGACTGTAAGCTGAACCACCTTGTATTCAGACTATAATGGTCCTACAGAAATTACATGGTACTTTGGTTGTGTAAATTTTATCATCTAAGCTCAGAATGTTTTCGACAACATATTGTACATAAAGGATCTGGATACTTCATAAAATAAATATTTTGCAAATACTTTTCAGCTTAATGGTCCTATATATGAAATTGAAACAGTAGGTGTGTGTGCAAGTGTGTGGATGCATTTATGTTTGCTTATGGCTTAAGGACAGATAACGTAACTGCCAAAATTTGGCACGCTTATTTCTTGAGAACAAGAAGAAATATTAGAAGGTCAAAACTCCAAAAAGTTGTCCTAACTTATCATCTGATTCTTGATTGTGTGTTTGTAGATATGTGTCGCCCTCTCCTCCTCAACCTCCACCTCGTCGACTATCAGAAAGCAGCTCCGTCCCTGGGTCACCCCAGCACCGGCGTGTGGAGCATTTTCGAGCACGATTTCACTACACACCAGAGCCACAGAGGCGTGTGTTTGGTGCAGGAGACTTCCAAGACCTCTGATAGACTTGGAATCTTACGATGATTGTGTGATTGATGTGAAGTGTATGCAGTTGTACCTATGAGTTTTATTTTCATGGCAGTGGCCTAGAATTCTTTATTCGTAGGACTGTGGGAAATATCTTTTTAAATCCAAATAGACATACATTCTTTGGAAATATAACCCAAATTCTACAGTGTTCATAGTTTAGTTATTTATATTTACCTTATTTCCTCTGTAACTACCTTGTTTTCAAAGGTAAATTTTGGTTTGCATTTTTTACACAATTCATAATCTGGGCATTGTATCAGAGGGTTAGAAGATATTTCTTCCCACAATTCTAGGAGATAATGTAAATTAATTAAAGGAACTGTGTTAAGCAACAGTCAACTAGGCTATGGTCAAGTTCTAAAATGCATTTTTATACTAGTCAAGATTTTATGGTGAACATACATACTGATTGTATTTGAAATGTCCAACTGTCTTGTCTGTCAAGTATATTGACCATATTTGTAATGGTTGAGTGTAATTTACATAGTTAAATATCTTATAATTTCATGTTTTACAGTGTTCTAGTTACATAAGGCATGCAGGCATGAGGAAGTAAAACTCCCTGACATCTTCTAGAACTTTAGTTTATAGTGAGAACAAAATTCGTGTCCATATTAGTATTGGGTATTAGAATTTGAATCTGTAAATTCTAATAATGTACCACAACATAATTAGAATGATTCTGACCAAAATTTGATTGGCCACATTTGTATAAAACAGTGTGTTCATGGTGCATGTACGAGTAAGTTCAGACTGGCTGGACTAGTCTTAACCAAAATGTACTGAAATGTACTCATGTTGAATGGACTTGAGTTTTTAGGCAAGTGTTGCCCAGAATTATCTTTAGAGGAGGTAGCAACAAAAGAAATTTTATTGCAGAAGATGTATGTAACACTGACGATGGAAGAAGCTTCAAACATAATAACAACAGTGTGTACCAACATGTAATTAAGAATTAAATTTCTTGTTACAGTATGTTTGTACTGATAGTTTTTCTATAGTGACTAAATTGAGGAGGATACGATGGGTGGGACCTGTACCACACATAATTCAGAAATGTACACCAAATATTGGTTTTGAAAACTAGCGTGAAGAGTCAACTTGCAAGACCTAGTTGTAGATGAGAGGGTAATATCAAAGTCTGTCATAAAGAAATTGCATATGAGGATGTGGACTAGATTCTTTTGGGATATTTTTTCATTGTCTATGGTCAGCTTGACCGTCGTGACCCCTCTTCGGGGTTTTCTTGTGAAAGTACCGTGGTGGCTTTTGGGATTGGGTCAAGATTTTGTAAAGACAGTAATGAATCTTCAAGTTCCATAAAATGCAGTGAATTTCTTGGAGAACCATGTGACTATCAGCTTCTTAAGGACTCTGCTCCATGGCACTGTAGTGATTATATTATTCTTCTTCTTCTATGGCTCTCCGGTCCGTATTCGGTCCATGGCATCCTCAATTCTCCTCTTCCATTTGGTCCGCTTTTAAGTCCGTCTGTCCGAGGATTTGATCGAGGTTTCGAAACATCTTCCTTTTTACGGTGCAAGGTTGTTAGCCTTGCGACCAACCCCCAACCTGGAGGTCCAGATTACCTGTCTTAGTCTGACCTCTCCCCCTCGACCAATCTGGCCCTGGAGGCCCTACTAGTAGCTATACTACCACCAGCACTGAGGTACTCAAGCCCCACGACCATGACAAGGTGCAGGTACCATTAAGTGGGGAGTGATTATATTATGACGGTAAAAGTAGACATGGATAATGCAATACAATTTAAAATTCAAAATTCAGCCGTAGTAAGCCTTGCTGCTGCTGTTAAATGAAACAAATATTTATCCTCCCTATAATTTACATGTGGAAAAGTTGTAACCGCAAAGAAATAGCTGTGTCTTAGAACATAATGCTCATATGTTGATATTTAATCTGCTTTGTGGTGTGCATAACAGAAATATTGTGATCAAATTGGCATACTTTACATTGAAAAATGATACCTGAACATGTTGACTAGTAGTATGGTAAAATGCATTTTAATGAAACAATGCATGTTTTTGTCTTCTGGTTTATGATATTTCTTCAAGCTTAAAAAACAAATTTGTACTCTCCTAACATAAATCATGAAGTTAAGATTTTTAAAATCATGGTACTACATCATTACAACAGGAGTTAAAGCTGAAGTTGAGAAAAATGCAGGTATTCTGACTGCTTAAGCTAGCATTACCAGATGCCCTGTGCCCATGAGTTAATTATCAAAACTGTGTTATAAAATGTTCCAAGATTCTACTTGTCTAAGATCTTTATTTTTATTTAATATATTTTTATCTGTTTTTTTTATTAAATCATAATTGTTTTTAATGATGTAATGAAATGGTGTTAAAGATTTTTGGTTTTTATAGTTACATTATATGACAAGTTAATTAACTCTGATTTTAAATAATAATTATATGACAGAATGCTTATTAGAAGTATTTCTTATTGTTTTATTTTGAGTTGTTTTCTTTATTTCAGTAACTGTCTATATGTTAATTATATTAGTGTTGGTAGTGCAGAAGGATAGATTAATTACAGTGCATTCTGTCTCCATGCCTTAGGACATCTGGTAATCCCAGTTTAAGCTTCCTATATATATATATATATACCACAAGACATTGTTTATAGCAATCACAAAATACACTAAATTTTAAGTAATTACTAATCATCGTGATATTTTAACTGAAACCACTTGAACCAGTGAGTGTGTACCTTTCTAGTGTTGTATATTTTTATACTTGACAGTAGTCAGTTATATCTTTATCGAAGCTCACGTTTGGAACTTCTGCATATTAAATTTTGTAGCTGATTTTCCTGATTTTTATGATTTACCATTCATTACTGAAAGATATCAGGATTGTACCTTGAAATAGGTAACAAATTTCACTTCATCTCTGTAAAATAGCCTGGATGTCTGTCATTCTTGTTACCAAGCACTGGCTAATCTTGCATGTCATTCTCCCACAAAATAGATTTTTAAATCAGTACTTCAGTTGTGACAGCAATTGGCAGTTTTTGTTTCCATTTTGAAGATGAAGGCATAAGTTGTCTCCTTGCAATTTGAAACATTTTTAACATTGTGTGATATATTAATGTTATAATATATCAGTACGTCAGTCACAGCACCTGAGTGATGTGGTGACAAATCACTAATTTCAGAATTTGCACAAAAATTATTGATTATTTGGTGTGTAATTTAAATTTGAGCATGTAAAGCTTTCCTTCTGGTCCACTTTACGCTCAACAGATGCCATATAACTGTGTGTAAGGATCTTTGCTATGCCCTCTTTTCACAGCTGTGAAGTGAAAATTGGCATTCTATCTTTATGAGCCCACTTCCTTGTTTCATGGCTATATCTGACTTTGTATTGAAGCTTTACACACAAAATGCTGTATTTAGTTTTGGGGTTAAATTGGAGAATATTCTTTTTGAAACCCCAAAATTTGAAACTTTTTCAAAATTTTGGTTCAGAATGACAAACTGTGCTTTTTGCATAATAGCTGCGCAGCTATAATATTTTGGTATTATCTCAGTGTCCATATGTGATTCTACTGCTCAGTGATACTAGAAATTATTTTAATTTCTTGATCATTATTTCTTATTTTTAATTTCATATGTACTGATTATATACATTTGAAGCCCTCATATCCTAATCTTTAATTACTTGTCTGGAAATTGTATCTGTGAATATGTATACTTATAATAGTAGTGATTTCTTATTACATGTCAAAAATATCCAGGCACCAGGCAATATACCTATAAAGTAGCTGTAGCTGAAAACATTAAAGTTTTGAAGATTTCTGTCTTCTGGGTTGTTGCTCTGTGTAGTCTGGTCGATGTTTACCAACGTTTCAGAGGTCATACTGCCTCATCATCAGGCCCTGACCTCTGAAACGTTGGTAAATATCAACCAGACTACACAGCGCAACAACCCAGAAGACAGAAATCTTCATACTCGCCGCTGTGAAAACCTCAAATCTTACTTATAACTCTGTTTTATAATTTTGAATAAATAAAGAAGAAAACAGTATATCTAGCACAATAGCGTCTACAAACAACTCAGATGCTTGATAACTGTTTTACTGTACAAGTTTATCCCCTCTTCATCTTCAGATTACCAACATAACTGTAGCGACTGGAATTGAGAACGCATGACAACAAATTACGATACTCCACACAGTTGGTCACAATTACAGCAGTATGAGCTGTGGTTCATAAATACCTGTGCATGCATATAAAACCTCTTGGCTAATATTGAAAAAATGGGAGAACCCGGGACAAAACTACAAACTGGCCAGGATGCCAGGAATAAAGTCTCTAAACCAGGAATTGTGGTAACCATATCTGAGATAGATTTAAGGTTCTTGTGGTAGCAAGCGTGAAGATGGATTTCTTCTGGGTTATTGTGCTATATAGTCTGGTAGGAGTTCACTGATGTTCCAGAGGTACTTGCTTTCTCCTTCACCAGGGTTCAGCAAACTGGAAGACGGCTGTCTTTGATAGTTACCTGACTGTGTCTGCTGCTGGTGCATATTTGTACTCAGATACTTAACATATAAAATAAAAAACAACAACATCAATAATAATTTTAAAATGTCAATATATTATTATTGTTATAACATCTTAGGAAAACTTTAAAGGATGCCTTCATGTATGTATTATGCCCACATTAAAACTCAACTTTCTAGTATAAAGGTTGAAAAAACTCATGCTTAAAATTATATAAATGTGGAAAATTCACCCACTTTGCACTCTGTCAATGTTTTTTTTCTACTGATATACTTGTTGTAAGTTGAGGTTTTCACTATGTTGCCTTGGACTGATGATAATTTGTCTTGTAACACTTATTTTGATATTCCTGCTACCTCCATTTTGAGTACCTGAAAATCATCAGCCCGTATGAGATTTGAGGTTTTTGCAGTGATGAGAATGTGGATTGTGTCTACTTTATGAAACCATGTAGTCTTGTAGGTGGGTGCCAAATATTTTGAGGAATGTAAGATTTGAGGTTTTCACAGCGGTGAGTATGAAGATTTCTGTCTTCTGGGCTGTTGCGCTGTGTAGTCTGGCCGATGTTAACCAACGTTACAGAGGTCATACTGCCTCTGTCACCAGGGTAATTCATCGCAGTATGACCTCTTAAACGTTGGTTAACATCGACCAGACTACACGGTGCAACAACCCAGAAGACAGAAATCTTCATTTTGAGGAATGTTGCCAACTACGTATGTGTACATGGTGTCACAATCCAGAAGGCTATGATCTACATCAGTCATGTCTCTGTCATATCCTTTTTGTTTGCAATGGAATGAAAACTTACATTTTTCTATATCTGTTTTTTTAAGTATGCTGTGTTGTTTTAACTGCAAAGTTCTCATTGTTTCATTCTAATTGCTTTTCAGGTTTTTTTTCCTTTTGAATGAAGCTAGAAGACATGGTGCCTCTCACGGTCTAAAAGCTAATTCTGCCTACACTCAAAATATCCAGTTGCATTCAACATAGGTATGACAAATAGTATTATTATTTTAATCCATTGAGATTCAAATTGCAATGGTCCTATTGAAATATTGATAATTAAGCTGTTTCAATATTTTTTGTGTGTATTAATTTTCAATTGAACTTGAAATCATGTCTTGGTTGGTCTGCAGGCTCATTCTTCAAGAGAACTATTAGAATATGTAAACCAAGACAACAGCAAGCACTTTCAAGGTCACTGTGTAAGGAGTGCGCCTTGCATCTGATCACACTTTCTACAGTAACATCTTACCATCTAGTATTTGTTTTCAAAATATCTATCTAATATGATGCATACTTGTTTCTCTACGTAAAGACTTATACTGATTTTAATAGCAAGATGTGAAAAGTAAACAATAAATGTTGTACTTATATTGAACTCCAGTGCCTATAACATTGCATTGAAGATAAACTAGTATCTCATCTTATAATAAACTGAATAAATATTGGACACAAATTGCATTTGAAACATATTGACCTGAAAATTTCTATAGTGGTGACGATGGCTTCAAATATCGCAACTGACATACTTCCGTTCACTTTTGCATGTCGTAAGCTCGGAATTCCTACGAAGTTGTCTGAAACATCAAAATGATCTGACGTTGATATGTGTCGTCCACTGCAAGTTTCATCTTTCGTGTTTACTGATACTATATTGATGAAAGTAAAGTGAGATCTGTTGTACAGTCTGGCTGTACTTTCAGCAACAGAAGAACTTGTTAATGTACCTGATATGACAGCAGTGCTTAAATGAGCATAATATTATTTCTTAACTTCAGCTTTGCTCAGTTTTCTGTAATTTGGCCTTTTTCTCTTGTTTTTTTACAGTAACTTTTAGGTACTAATACAGACAACCAAGAATTTAAAGTTTGATAATTAAACAAAAGTGTGTGTATATCTTGTGCCATGAAATGTTCATTTCAAATTTTTATAGTGATGAGTTGTGTGTGAGATATGTTATTTTAATCTTTTTACTGGTTTTTGTTTTGTAAATATTTTGGTGATGCTGCCCAGCGAAGAGATTTTTTTCTCCAAAATGTAATTTGCTACTGACAAATTCTTGCTTAAAAGTTAGAAAATGTGTACAACAAACTAGCTGCCTTTGAGATAACCTTTTGACTGCAAACATTGTAATTGTACAATAGGATAATCAAGTAAAATGATCTGGGAAGTCAAAATTAGTATGTATTATAAAATTAGTTAATAACGAGAAAATATATATTGAGCAGTGATGTCAAAGTTTATTGAAACATACTCAGGGTTACCAGATGTCCCAATAAAATGTTTATAGTTCCTTTTCTTTTTAGTTTGTAATACAATTAAACACTTTTTTTATTGTATTACAAAAAACTAATTATTAGTGTCACCATTTTTCATGCTGTATAGTTTTGTGTAAATTTTTGACGTAATGTGCAGAAGAGTTAATATGATATCCCATAAAGTATTTGTGGTATTTATGAACCCTGATCAGATACACTGAAAATTGTAGAGAAGAATCTGAAAGAAGTTTCAGAAGTGTTCAGTTTAAGGTAAAAATAGAGACAACTGATAGAATGTGGAAACCAAGATAACAGCAAGCAATTTAAGGTTCGGTTGTGAATGTATGTGAGAGGAGTGTCACCTTGTGTTTAATCATACAGTTTTCTGTAGTTAACATCTGTGATAATAAAAGTAAAATTACATGTGTACATCTAACATTTTATGAGGAGGCTGAGAGATACGATTCAACCGAATAATATTTTACTTAATTTCAAATGTAAATTTTTGAGTTTTGTAAAATGTATAGGAATAATTGTGATTAGAATCTAATCTCAAAATAATCACTGCTTATAAATATAAATTCAAACTAATTTCCCCCTGCCACTTTAAACTAACTATGTATTAGGTTTCATGATGTGAATTCCATCAAGAGGGAAAATGGTGAACGAACAGATTTTAGGAAAAGAGATGAGGTTGGATTAAACCCTGTCGCAGTTTAAGAATCTGTGAGGAAAGAAAATGATGGAGATTTCATCTACACAATGGATTATTTTGGTAAGAATTAAAACATAGGACTTATTCTGATGAAAGACTGTCGCTACAGAGAATCAGATTTGTTATGCAGCAGCCCTGAGGATGAGAACAGAGATTGTTCTTGAATGTTGGCAGAAGATATGTTTTATTCACCACTCAGCCACCTGACACGGCTTCTAACCCAAGCGTCTTTCATCAACTTCAGTCGCTGCAAAAGCTTCACTTTATACATGCAGACTTATGTTAAGCAAGGACTATATTGGCAAAAGGTTTATAGGAAAAGCATTTATATATATTTTTTAAAATGTTACAAAATGCACATGCAGCTTTTGTTCACATGACTTGTATTTTTCTTCTTCTTTGTTCTATTAATTTGGGTGTATAAATTAACCTTTATTGTGTGGGTATAGGGGATTTAAATCCCTGAAATTAGGGGCTGCTGTTGTGTTTAATGGTTTAGCAGTATGCTTGATAAACGTTAAGCAAAAAATGTTTCAGACCAGTGGATTTACATATGACTTTGAAGTCAGAATGAAGAAAATCAGTATTATGATGAGATAATTTTTCATGTATGTTATTTAAACATTTATTGGCAGGTTGTAAAAGATAATATGGTACCTTAAATTATCATTCGATTAAAAAAATAAACTCTTCCATTGCTGGCTGAGAAAAAGGAGCATGAATTATGCAAAAGAAATCAAATTCCAAATATTTTTACAACAAATCAGTGTACGTTTATTTTGCAGTGCCAGAAGTAACTTGACCAAATTGAGTGCACATTGAAGGGTCTTGTAGTGTGTGAACATTGTTCACCAGTTATACTGGAACAATTCAACGTTTTGGCATGGTCTGTGAAAGCAGTTGACCTAGAGTGCAACAAAAATATCAGTACCTTAACCTTAAATTTATGTAAATAGGAGATTTAAAGCCCAATGTTGGGTAGCTGCCAGTCAGACTTTAAAATTTAAGGTTATTTTATTAGTAGTATGCTAGTGCAATGCACATGCTAAGGTACAACACATGGATGATAAAGGTTAGATATGGATTACTCCTTTCCTGTATGTTCATGCCTAAAAATCGTGATAATGAAAGATGAAATTAAAGGGGCTAATTTCAGATCCAATGGTTCACATTAACATTAAATTTTCTCCAAGTCCCCGAGAGGTTAGAAAGAGTAACTCTTTCATCTGTAAGTGATGCTGAACTGCTGAGAGATCATCCTGCATAGTGAAGCTTGCTGCATACACATTTTAGGTTAGGTTGTTGCCTTCATGTGTATATATAAAATGTCAAACTATGAAACTGAATGTGGCAGAGCTCTTAAATGTTTAAGAGTGCTTCCTTGCCATATAATGTGTGTGAGAATTATTTAATATGCAGGAGAGAGTGAGGGGAGGAAATCCACGAAAAACCTCAGTAAGAACAGCCAGTCTCCTGGTCGAGATTTGAACCCGGGACCTCCCGAATACGAAGCAGGAGTGTTAACCAAATATTCTAAGGACCTTCATTTATTCTGAAGTCATTGTCCAAGTTTCTAACCCGTAACTCTGAATAGGTCTTATTAGAGTTGTACATATTTTTAATTTATTGTTTCCTGACAAAAGTGTAGTATGTGCACAATATGCATGGTTTGCTCTCATAGTTTTAAAATGAATGTTTTTCCACATTTTATTTCTTTTGTCCAGTCCCAAATATGTAAAATGTTCAACATCTTCAAAATTAAAATCACGTATTGTTAGGTTTTGAGGACATCTTCAGATATGTTTTTCATCTTATTATTAATCATAAATCCTGTCCAGTTGTATTTTCAAGTCCACTGAAAAATAATTAATATTCTCTAATTTATTTGCCCTTGCCCTTTCCATCTAATTTCTTGCAGGGTCACAACATATACCAAACTTCATAATTTATTGTCAAGTTTAATTCATTTTCCCAGGTTGGGACATCGAACGAACATTCCAGGTAGCAATTTGTATATCTGTTTTCGTCTTCCTAGATCTTTACCCAAGTCGTAACCCCAAACATTCGTCCGGTTGGGATTTAAATTTTACTGTCTTCTCAACAAATTTTGTTTTTATGGGGCTGGGTTGTTTAACCCAATGCCTAACCCCTAACCTGGAAGACCAGGGTGTCTTTCTCAGTCTGGAACCTCACTTGAGAGACCCTTCCAGTAGCTCTTGAAATCATTAGAACTTGCAAGCCGAACGGCTACAAGGTGGCTTTTGTTCAGGACTATTCAGTCTTTTCCTTTCAAGGGCATTCCCCATTTTATAATTTGAAAATATTCCTCCGTCACAGTTCTTTACGAATTTATAGTGAGCATCTGCGACACACGATGGATAAGGCTTATATTGAATTACTAAGAGCCACTATTTGCCCTTCAATGACTTCGTGTTTACTTTCTGAGCAACCTGCTAATTTTTCTTTGGGTGAGACCGTTTCGCAAAGTGTAGTATGTTTCTTCTTAAGATCTTCTTCTGTCAAAGATGAAAAAACAACAACATGGATTAAAAACATTGATGAAATCTGACAGAATCTTTCACAAGTTCTTTTACAAAGGAAAGCATTCCCATTTCTTCTTTGCAATAGACTGGCGCATGTCTTCATTTGTTTTTCTGTGATTTTCGTTTCTCTTCATCATTGGCAATAACACGAAACTAATGGAAGCAATTGAAGAAAGTAGTTGTGTTTAGTCGTGTCTTTTGTTGTGTGTGAATGTGTGCTAATGGCCCTGTTGGGTCTTGCCCGCGTTGTGTAGTTAATTGTGAATCAACCTTAACCCTTACTGATGACTTCTTTCGCCTACAGCTGCACAATGTAAGTTCTCGATTTTTCTGTTTTTCGTTTTAAGGTTCTCATTTCACTTAACACCACACACACACACACACATATATATATCTATTTGTGTACTGAGTGGATTATAGAGAGATTTCTGTGATCTACTAGGCCACTTTTAAAAGCTATAACGCTAAATGTGGGTATAATAATACTGATTGTTGTTTTTGAATTTAAGGAAGAATATATATCAAAGAGTTTGTATGGTGTAAATTTGATCAAATTATATTTATAAACAGGGCTGTTGAGTCAAACTGAGTGGCATTATTGCTGGAAGTTTTAAATATTTTCAGTAAGCATCACCACTGATTAAGGATTTTGCATATACATCTAATATCACTTTGTAATCGAGACCTCCTGAAATTTTGTAAACTCCTTTTAAATTCTGAAGAGGAAACAAGTTTGAATGAGAAGGGATGTCTGGTGAAAGGAAAGAGCTTAATTTTTCTCATAAAGATGATAATTTAATCTGCTATAAATTAGAGCTGTATTATGAAATAATTAAAATAACACTGTGAAATTATATTTTTAAAATATGATCATTTATCAGTGATGAATTTGTTGGGTGAAAAATTTATAATAGCAGATGTAGTTTACTGCCTACTTGTAATTGACCATAGATCAGTTTCTGATTTTCTTCTTGTGTCAATATTTTTAACACAGATGGTTCGACAGGGTGACTCATTTACCCCAGTTTTAAATTATGATTTTGATCATGAGTTTTCATCTTCTTCTTTTCTGGTTATTATTTTTAGTTCATTATTATTCTTAGGAGTAAGAAAAAAAATTGTAACATTTTTTTAAAATGCCTAAAAATTACAGAATTCTTAGAGATTTGTTTTCTAACCAGCAAACAATTTCTGGTTTTGCTTTGACTTTGCCAAGTTTTTTGATGAATCTCCTTCGTATTGGCTATTCATTATGATTGTTTGATAGAAATAATATGTTCGTATTGAGACATGCAGGATCAGTATGTTAAAAAAACTCTTATTCCTTGATTTTTTATTATCAAAATAATATTTGGTATAGATTACAAACTAGCAAAAGACATTTGTAAAACAAGTGTACTCCATTGGAGAAAACTTTCTCATTCTTGTTGATGTGACTTGATTTTACTTATTAAAATCCAGTCTGTGATGGAAGTCTGATGACAGCTGCAAAGATTCATATCTCATGCTCACAGATGAACCACATAGAGTAAGTGCAGTGGACATCTGCTAGTGATCCATCTTTTCTCATGGCCCCACAATGCTCTGAGCCTTTCCAGTTGTCAGGTTGTCCACTTCCCCATTTGCTGTATCCCTCGTCTTCCAATCTCATTCCTAAGGAAACAGACACAGTAAAATTAACTGCAAAGACTGTCAGCCAAATCGAAACATTATAAACAAATGCCACCTGCTTACTGCATCTGTGTATTTCATAGCACTAAATTTAGCTCGTAATAATTAAATTCAGTTTGTCAACAATAGCTGTAATAAATGTTGTTGTAACCATTCACCATATTAGCGTAGGGTCTGTAATCTCTCCCTGACCTGGGCTCTGAGATCTGAAATTATTATGGCGGTGAAGCTGTTGACTTAAGCAGTGTTTAAGGATGTATTCAGTGAGGTGAATATCTAAATTTCATAACCATTAGGTAACAATTCCTGACAGTTAATTTATTAACATTTGAAAGGAATTAGCTGTCTTTAAAATTTGTTGATATTAAAATTATTTTCACTTACCGTGAATTGAAACATAATAGCCTTCTAGGAAATAGTCATGGAAACCAATGATGTAAGCGTATTGAGAAGGATATGAGGACACAATTTCCCTAACTGCCTGAGCTTCTGTTTCCGAGTTTATGATCAGAAGATGAGTTCCGTCGGCTTCGCACTTTTTCCACGCTTGACCCCATTTCAAGGAAGTCGTGTACAGTTTGTAGTATCCCAAGTTTGTACGCAGCTGGTAACCACTGGCCAACAGATTTAATTCCCACGTTTTCACTGACACGTCGGTCTTCTCAAAACTCAGGTCACAGTTTTTGTCTGCGTGGTGATCGCTAGCATTTCCGCACGTGACGCATCGAACACCACAAGCCAGTATTGAGACTGTAGTCAGAATAATCCATTTGAACGCCTTCATGTTAACACCTGTGGCCATACGTTTTTTTTTATAATACCAGCTCCACATTATAGCCTATTAATAGCATCGTAGTGATTTATCAGACGGGATCCACAGTTTAGGTATAACAGGCGCAGTAGTTTCTGGCCGGTGGAGAGGCTAGCGGAGCTGGCGGGCGGGCCTAGTCTGTGTACCTGAGGTGGCACGGTCAGTGCATTTCTTTTGGTTGGGCGTTCAGTCCGATAAGCTCCTCAGCGCAGTCAGCATTATACTATCGCACAAGAGACTCGCTCCTAGCCTTCCCCTTGAAAATTCCACCGGCCAAAAACTACTACGCCGACTATAACATACCTTCAAACGGAGAAAGATCCAGTCTCCCAAACGTAGTCAATTGTAGAATTTATATTTTTTAATGCTTATATTATTTAAGAAACGTAACGACGATAGCAATTCGCGGTTCACGAGGAAATTAAGAGTAGACCAAACATGAGGAATGCTTGCTACCATCCAGTTCAGAATAGTTCGCCTCCAGTCCGCAATCTGAGAACATAAAGATTAAGTTACGTATGGGCGTGATGCTTGGTTTAGCACGTGTCGGGAAGGCCAAGGACTGAGAGTCTGGAAAAGATCCTGGAGAAAACTGCATAATGAGGAGCTCCTACTTTATATTCTTTACCAAGAAGTATCAAGATGACCAATTCAAAGAGTGTGCGATGGGTGGGGCATGTAGAATGCGTAGGGAGATGATAAATTAATATTGATCCTGAAGGAAAGCGACCACTCGGAAGGTCCAGACGCACATGGGAAGATAATGTTAAATTTAAAATTAGGGAAATTGGTTTAGAGGTCATAAATTGGGTTAATCTGGCTCAGGGTAGGTTGCAATTAAGCTTTAGTTTCCACAAAAGGCGGGAAATTTCTCTCTTAGCTTTGAGCTTCCAGAATCAAAAGGTGTTAAGAGCGCATATCGAAGGTCTGTGTGCCCTTGTTTAAACTAACACGTTTCCGGTCTTGCTAGGACAACGAAAGAAAAGTAATTCGGAATGGATTATTAGGAAGCATCCCCCAATTTTAATCTAAAAGTAATTCTGATTTGTAGCATTCCAGAATATTCGAGAGATTAACATTAAACCAATGGAAACAGAAGTATTATATTAACGAATTTTATCATCAAGTAGACTTTGCTTTGCTCTGAAAGCTTCAACCGCTATTAACACATTACTCTTTGTAATCATAACGTGACTGCAAATATAATGACAAAACGTGTTCCTATATTTTTAATATACTTACCAGTGGAAAATCTTGGCCTGTACGTCAATTCGTGACGAAATACAGTATTATTAAATCTCTCAAACAATTGCTTCACAATAATAAGTTACGTAGTTTAATAACAGTGATGAAAATATGTCGTTGTTGTGTTATATTTAAAAATAAATCTACCTGACCCTCAAATTTTACTGGTCTGGTGTCGTAACTAACCAGGCCGAAGCGTCTGATTGTAATTCTTACCCATGAAAGTCTGTAAGACGGAAGGATGGCTGTTTATGCTCAGAGATAACTGCTCTTCTAGTACCAACTGTCGTCAGCGGTAGCGCCACTCTCTCACTTCCGTTTCACTTATACTATAGTTCGCGACTGCATTCCTTACAAGACTCAATATTACAGTCGCGTACTGTACTGATGATAACATAGGGAAGTTGTAAGTTTCCTCGTATGACATGACGGTTTAGATTAATTGGATCTATATTTAAAGTCACGTAGACACAGAAGTGCCATTGGTCTCAAGAAAATAATTTTTTTTAAAAAAACAAGTAAAATAAAACTGTCAACATAACAATAGAGATTTTCTAAAGTTTAACAAATAGGACTGTTGGGATGTTATTAAACTTCTGAACAATAAATGGGCCTGTGTTATGCCACGTTCAAGTATAATTAAATCAACAAATTCCTTGCGGCATAGTATATTGGGTTACTACTAGTTATTTAAATTTTGTATTCTGTTACTTGCTGGGAAGGTTGCTGTCAATTTGTTCTTCACATACGAAGATAAGAACTGCGTGAATGGAACGAACATTTGCATCTTCAGTCCCAATCCTGACGACGTATCTAATCTATTTCGAGCAGTCTGTGTGTCCTGCAAATATATCACTTCCTTTGTTTAACAGATTTGTAGGAGGATGTGTTATATTTTTGCAGCCCCACTGATCACATAAGAAGGAAGCAACTTTAGTCGATAATCGCACAGTCCGGTTTCAAAAGTTTATCGTCTTTTGTAGGGCCAACAATGAGTTATGAGGACTGCGGAAATACGAAGAGGAAATTTGTCACTTTGTATAAAACAGAAAGACCCAGTTATTGATGAAATTGAAGAGGTCAGATGACGTGTTGTTAGAATTGATTGGACATCGTCGAAATTTAAATTTTCGGTTGGTTCGTTCAAATAGCATGAGATGTTTGGAGTAAGAACTTCGTGACCCAATAAATTCAAGAGACTTTATGGATTATGTTTGTTGAAAAAATCCAAAATCCAGAAAATTCTAAAATCTGAAACTCTTTAGGTCTCAGGCTTCTTCTGTGTTGATTTTGTGGTATTTGGGTTAGCATTTGCTTTAGTGGCTAGGTAGCCATCACCAAATTCAATATTTCAAGGTCATATCAAAATTATACGTTATTACAGCTCAAGCAGCAGATTGCAGGCTCAGAACTTGCATCATTGTAAAGATTTATTGTTGAATTAGAGCTGTACTCCAAGGGTCAGGGGCGAAGTCCATTCGTGGCCTTGAAGCATGCAATTTGGTGACAGATATTACAGATGTATTGTCCCTATTAGGAGTCAGGTTGGCATTTCTTGGTTTGGTATCAAATAATATATGTTGGTTGGACAATAAAGAGTTAATGGCAGAGTGATTCTGTCATGGGGTTAACACTTCTACGTGCCCGAGACATGGATAAATGAAATCGGGAAGTTCATGTGTGTAACTGACGTGAGTTCTCAACAGCCAATGAGGATTGTACGCTAGGTTTTTTAAGGATTGATGAAGATCAGAATTAAAGACACTTATAAAGACGACATTTTATTTACAAAAACAACGCACACAGGTGGCATACATACTTGGTTGTTCAAACCCACATTGTAGTTTAAATAACTCGTAAACAATTTCTGACAGTAAAATAATCCGCATTGTGAGCAGTGAGGCAACTACACAGCTGACTGTATGGTTGGTAGCAGTCAATTCAATGAAAACTATTGGGTGGGAGACTTTAATGTAACATGCATACAATACTCTTTTACTCTGTCATGGGAAGGAAGACAAACTCTAAAGAAAACATGTTTCTGTATAAGATACATCAACCTGCGATATATATATATTATAAATGTGCGTATATATTTTTTTTTTGAAAGAATCCACTGTACTTTTGAATCAAGTAATCACTTCAGTTCGTTAAGAAGTAAAATAAAATTGTCAGTCGGATGTTGCAGTCTGCTGCTGTTTGGTGTGTTGTAATGAGTACAGTACTACTACACATCTGATGCTCCATGATACAACTTTGGATTTGAGATTTTTGTTCCAGTATATTTTTTACTCGCGTAATTCTGTTCACTTCTTAAATCCCAATTTTTTAAGTGCCTTCAGATCTAGTTCACCGTAGTAGTCTTCACTGCAGGTTTTCGTGAAATAGAAGACAACACTTTTTCTAGATTAAACTCTCATTTGTTGAATGTTTAGAACTAATGGTGACCAAAAATGCAGTTTTCTGTGTAGTTCAAATCTTTTTTTTTTTTACTTTTAACAAATTTTTACGATGTCATAATAATCTAATTTTAATTACGGTGAATTCTTCTCGAGCTACCAGTCGCATCAGGTGGTTTAATGGAGAAAATGCCAATCTGAAGGTTCTCGAAACAATGTTTCTTTCTCCACTAAACCACCTGAGAAGAATTCATTGTACTTTGTCATCGTGAAAGCTTCTGATCATACATAATTTTAATTACGATATATCTTCAATTTTGATAACTACAATTCTGTAATACTATATTTTTCGTATTCTATTGTAGTAATAATTTATGTACTCATATTCTATCAGATTCTCACATGATTTGTATATATATTACATGAGAATTATTACGATTATTTCTAGTGTCTCAGAATACTGCACTTTGGTCCAGCCTAAAAAGTATGTTTTAATTAATGTTACTATGATATGGCAAATGCGTTTACATTTATGACATTTCAAAGATCAGATTACGAATTTTGAACACAGATTAATAATAACAAAATTAGGATGTATACTACCTTCTGGTACATTAAGGAGAAACAGGAGCATACATATGGCATCAACTGTTCTTTCAGATTGGGAATTCTTCAGCACATTGGAGTAAATAATAATTTTAGAAGGGTTTCTTGAATCTTGTGCCATTTCGTAGTATTCATTCTCCACAGTCTCAAGGGACGATAGATTGTTATATGAACGTTTTGATGTTACATTGACGTGCGTAAAGCTTTGAAATATTCACCACGGGCATGCACTTACGTAAAATTAATACTTTCTTGCTTATTACTGGGGGAAATATGAACAGATGTCTCTGGTAGGAACCAGGAAGATTTTTTTTTTACAGGCATGGAAACAGCATCAGTTTAACTTTTTCCTGGTGATTATAATATTTCTAATAAATATCAAAATATGTTTATAATTTTTTTTATATTATGGCCATATTCTTGTACTCTCTGAAGTTCTTTAGAGAAATTTTTATGTCATTAAACATATATAATATTTGTAGTTTACTTTAAGACTTTGGGCAATGATGGTGGTAACAAAATGAGTTCTTAAAGTGACAAACAGTAATTTCTGTAAACAATAAGAGTGTTTTGGAATTCGAGATTTATACGTAGCTGAAGTTGAAGTTTAGTTGAAGAGAGATATTTCTGGTCTCGTGTATTTTAAGAATGGAAGGCTAATAGAACTAGCCTATTAAAATGATGATCAAAGAAACTGGATGTAGTCTTTATTGTTTTAAGACCACAGAAGTAGCTGGAAGATGATTTCAGTTCTTGCACAGATGTTTATTTAATTTTGTTGATTATTTTAATACTAGATTAAGTGAATTAAGAGAATTAATGGCATTTTTAAGCTTCTCCTCCTTGTGATGGTGGAGGAGAGGGTCTATTTTGGTTTCCCTGGGGACGGGGTTTGCTAGGTTTGCTGGGAGCTGAGGCCGGGGGAGAACTGCGTCCCTGTGAGTTGTTCAGTCCTGCTAGAAG